TGAAATCAATTTTAAAAAATATTCTTAAAGATAGCTACTCCTGCTTTTTTAAAAGTCCATGCAAAGACGATCTTATATAATGTCTTCAAATATCACAATATTCTACGATGTTAGAACAAAGTACTTTTATAGAATCTGACTTTTTAAGTTGATCATTTCTTTGCCTAAAATATACATATTTGGATCATTTGGCTTTCACAACCTGGAAGGAATGGTATGCCTGCATGCTTCTAAAAAGAATTGTAGACAAAACTCATACCCCATTGCAATTATTTTTTGTTAAAACATAAAAATTTATTCTTAAATATAAATAATAGCCAAAGATGTAATATGCAGAGTATCACGAAAGCGTGTATTCTTAAGTGCTACATTACTCTTTTAAGAGTATTGGAAGAAATCTAAATTTAATGACAATCTGATACCTATCAAAATTTATTTTAAAATACATGAATAAAATATGAAAATTTTTCTTTTGCTTTTTCTCCTTAAGTTCATAATTTTATTCTGCTCCCTCCACAGAATTTTATTCTAATATCCAGGTTTTTCATAGATGTAAGCTGAGATACCTTGTTCATATGAAGATGCACATGAAAATGGCTTTGTTATAGCAGTCTCTTAACTTAAAAAAAAAAAAAAAAAACTCCTTTCCACACCGGAAATCACATGGTGATCAACAAGAAAAAAACTTAATAATCAGCTGACAGTTTGGTTGGGTCCTCCTTTAGTTCTATTGAAAACAGAAAATTTGAAAACATCTGTTTAGCAGAATGTTATCCACTCATTAAACCTACTTTCTCAATTTCTGAGAAGTATACCAGTCTTAACTAAGATTCACTACATGTGAAAGTTGGAAGATCTGGTAACTGATTTCCTTCACACTAATTAGGCCAGAATGTTTTAAATGTATTAGTAATCACTAATGAAATCTAGCAGGTAAAAGCCTGCTAGCATGATTGAGTAGAACATTAAGGGATGAGTGTGTTTGGCTAGTTGTTTATAAAAAGCTAATATAGATTGAATCAAGATATCAGCAGTTCTAGTACAGTATCTCAGAGTTGGCAAAGATGTTTCCAAAACAGAAAAAGATGGGGTCAGGAGGTATATGGAAACTATACCTTGTGCTCAATTTTGAGCCTAAATCTGCTCTTAAAAAATTAAGTCTATTTAGAGGGGAAAAATACTGATGAGGGTAGGTGCCAGTACTAAAGCCGTGTTGCAGGAAAAATATTTTAATCTTGATGTAAAGTGAGGGCCTTTTCTGAGGAAGGGAAATGTGTGGTTGAGTCTGAAATAGATTATAGAGCAGTAATGAAGGCAGTTATAGTTAGCATGATTTTCTTTATATTTTATCAATGTGCCCTCCCACCCCCCAAATTGGGGAAATTTAGAAAAATACAAAATTTCTAATTTGCTGAGTTGATCTGAAATACCAGCCTCATTTTCACGTTAGCATGCCTATGCAGAGCCCTCTAGTGGTTTTTCATTAAAAATACTGTCAACTAGCCCTAGACTTTTAGCTCAGTGGATGGAATGTCTGCCCAGGGACTAAAGGGTCCTGGGTTTGATTTTGGTCAAGGGCATGTACTGGGTTGCAAACAAGCTGGATCCCCAACCCTGGTTAGGGCACCTGTGGAAGGCAACCAATCAATGTGTTTCTCTCACATTGATGTTTCTCTCTGTGTCTCTTCCCCCTCCTTTCTATTCTCTGTAGAAATCAATGGGAAAATATCCTTGGGTGAAGATTAACAAGCAAAAAATCCTGGGAAATGACATAAAAATCTCTTTCAGACTACAATCACTGATGTACTTTCACTTTAGAAAGGCCATTTCTGTTTCCCACCTTTAAAACATTCATACTCCCCCACCCCCCAGTTCCATTTAAGTATTTTTTAAAATATATTTTATTGATTTTTAACAGAAAGAAAGGGAGAGAGATAGAGAGCCAGAAACACCGATGAGAGAAAAACATCGACCAGCTGCCTCTTGCACACCCCTTACTGGGGAGGTGCCTGCAACCAATGTACATGCCCTTGACCGGGAATTGAACCTGGGACCTTTCAGTCTGCAGACCAACGCTCTACCACTGAGCCAAACTGGCTTCGGCTTAAGTATTTTTTTAATAGTAACATTTGCTTTAAAAAAAAAACGATAAAGAGGGAACCAAAAAATGTGAAAATCCTAACCATGACTGCACAACTTTTTAACAATCTCTTATTCTCTCCATCACCTTATCTGTAAAATGGTGGTAGCTACCTACCTCTGGTTATTATTGTGAGCATTAAAGAATAGATGAGAGCACCTTCAAAACAAAAAAATAAATTGTATATAATTACCCCGTTTTATTTCCAAATAGTCAAATTAATTCCCTGTATAATAATTACACAAATAGGGAGACAATCATGCGGGGTATGTTGGGTACCTTCTTGCTAAGGGTGCAATGATACAACTCAACAGTGATATGGCCATTGGCACAGTCTTGGAAAGAATGGTTTGTCTGCTGAGGAGCAGGAAAGATTTGTTATTTATCTCCCTTCTCCCTCTGGAGTCTTATTTGCTGTTTATTCACCATCAGAAGGTATTACTCAGAATACTTTCCTTTTCCTCTAGTAATAAGGAAAATGATGGAGGAGTTTGTGTGCTCTTGCTGTGTGAGTACACATATATACCAGGTGTACCAATTAATCAAATTTTGTAAATAAAGAAAACACGATAATTGCAAGAGAAACATCAAAAATGCTTTATTCAAAGTAATGTCCACCGCTAGCTACACATTTCCCCATCTTTCAGGTAATTTGTGGATAACATCCCAATAGAACTTTTCTTTAAGGCAAACCATTCAGAGACCCAATTTTCCACTTCTTTGTATGTTTTGAAGTGCTGCTCAGAAAGTGCATGTGCCATGGATCAGAACAAGTGGTAATCTGAAGGAGCGAGGTCTAATGAATAGAGAGAGTGGGTTAATAATTCCCAGGCAAGATCTTTTAATGTGTCTTTAACTGGTTTTGAAGTGTGTGATGCTGCGTCATCATGAAGCAATATTACTTTCCCATGTCTTCTGGAACATTCTGGTCCTTTCACGATCAAAGTGTGGTTCAAATTAATTATTTATTGTCAGTAGGAGATCAGTATTAACTGTTTCACCTGGTTTTAGAAGCTCATAATACACCACACCTTCCTGATCCCACCAAACGCAGAGCATTGTCTTCTTCCTGAAGCGATTTGGCCTTGCAAGTTGATGTTGATGGTTGACCTAGATCAACCCATGATTTTGAGCATTTAATATTCTCAAAATAATCCACTTTCATCACCAGTCACAGTTCAATGCAAAAAAACTCTCTTTCGTGCCGTTGAAGCAACATTTTACTGATGACTTTTCGGTTTTCCATTTGTCTTTTGTTCAGTTGATGTGGCACCTATTTTCCTTCATTTAAAATCTTTCCCATTGCTTATAAACGATCAGAAATTGTTTGCTGAGTAATATTAATCTTTTTGCAAGTCATTTTTGAGTTTGACATTCATCTTCATCCAATAACACTTGTAATTGTTGGTCTTCAAACTTTTTCGGTTAACCTGGACATTATTTTGTCTTTCACATAGAAATCATCACTTTTAAAGTGTTTAGACCAGTGTTCACAAGTATCTTGAGATGAAGCATGTTCACCATAAGCTTCCCAAAGTATTCAGAAGCACTTTTCTTCAAAATAATGAATTAAAACTTCCTAAAAATGCTTTTTTCAGCACGAAATTCAACATTTTTAAGCGTAAAAATATCTATGATGTTAACACCTTCAGCAAATTTGACATATGGCATTTTGAAGCTTGTTGTCAAAACAACAAAATAGCATACATATCAAATTGCATATGTATCAATATATGTGTAACTCCATCTATTGAAAAAAACCCTCATTATAAACTGGTACACCTAGTATTTATATTTACCTGTGTGTATATAATATCTCTCCCAGAAATATCCACATATTACAGTTGGCTGAATTAAGATATTATTTGGGACTAAATATGCTTACACTATAAAGCACATTCATTGTCTAAGTCAGTGTCTGAGCTTAAAAAGTTTCACTTCTATTCCGATTATGTATAAGTGAAAACTTGAATGATTTAACCTTCTTAAGGATGTCATCCATGTGCCTTACTGATCAAGCTTTCACCTTTTCTTGTTTTTTCTCTTCTCTTTTCTAAGTTAGCATGACAGAAAAACAGTATCCAGTGGTTTCTTTTTCATGATATTAAAGGTGACCAAAAGGTAATTAATATTATCAGACAATTAGATTTTTGCTTAAGAAAAATCACATTTATGAATGACTAAAAGGAAACATTTTCTTGGAACCTTTCCTTGTTATGGCTTCAATTACCTTAAAACAAGAACTTTCAGTAAGTTAAAATTCACATCTTCACAAATACTAGCATAATCACTAAATGATATATTAACAGCAAAACAAAAAATATTAAGGAAGTTGAATGTTTTATTATTAAACTTTCTTATTTTCCTGCGAGGCTGCTACTTCAGTGTATAAAAATAGCACCAGCAAACTCAGTATATTGCTAGATTAAGACAGTGTTGTTCATCATCTGACACCATAACAACAACTTTTCTCTACTGCCTGTTATTTCCAATGGAAAGATCATTAAGTATTTTGACCCAAATCCAAAGACCAATGTAAGCAAATTACAGTATTACATAGGCTTAAGATAACAATGTTATCCTTGAAATATATAATTTTTATTACTAGATTTTACCATAGATAATTTCAGAAATTCTGAATATTATAACTGTAGCCTAGCCTAAAAACCATATGGTGTTATGGAAAGATGCACATTGTGTTTATCTGCCATCATTAGATGGTTAAGGGGTATTTTCATCCAGTAGCATTGTTGTACTTTCTTTTTTCATTGAAATTATTAAATCTTTTATCCACCACTAATTTAAGACAACTATGCTAGATAAGTTGTTTCAGACTACTTTATTTAGGTGGGTTCCATTTTCACTCCTCAATAGATTTTATGTATTTCTCATATGCTTCTTCACTCATTAGTTCATCTAGTTCTGAAGGGTTACTCAGTGTCATCTTGATCAGCCAACCTGCAACCAAAGAAAAGTATCTTATATTCCAAATTTTCTTTTTAAAGAGTTAGAGTAAATTCATTAAAAAATGTAAAATAGTTTTATTTTGAATTAGCTTATATTTAATATTATTTTGTATTTGTTTTAGATGTGTTTTAGATGCACAGCATAGTGGTTAGACAATCATATGCTTTATACAGGGATCTCCCCCCTGATGTTTCAAGTACCCACCTTACATATACACAATTATTACAATATTATTAAGTATATTTTCTATGTTGACTGTTTTGTAACCACTAATTAGTATTTCTTTTTCTCTTTACTTTCTCACCCAACTCTCCAAATGCCTCTCTTCATCAGTATGTTCCCTGTATCTATGAGTTGGTTTCTATTTGTTTGTTCACTTATTTTATTAGTTAGATTCTACATATAAGTAAAATCATAGTATTTGTCTTTCTTTGCCTGACTTATTTCACTTAACATAATACCCTCTAGGTCCATCAATGCTGACACAAATAATAAGATTTCAGTTTTTTTGTTTTTTTTTTATGGCAGAGTAATGTATATGTGTACCAGAGCTTTTTTATCCACTCATCTAGTGATGGACACTTGTGTAAATAATGTACAATGGACAAAGGGGTGCATATATTCTTTTGAATTAGTATTTTGGGTTTCTTCAGCTGTATATCCAGAAGTGCTATTGGGTCATAAGGTAGTTCCACTTTTAATTTTTTGAGGAACCTCTATACTGTTTTCCATGGTGGCTGCTCCAATCTGCATTCCCACAAACACTGCAATAGGATTCCCATTTCTCCACATCCTTACCAACACTTGTTTTAAAATAATTTCTTCAGTGCCTCAAAATTAATGTAGTACTATTTACTTCAGTGACCCATTTGTTCAAGGAATTTTAAGTTTTAGCATTTAGAATTAAATTAATATCCTTGTATATCATTATTGAAAAGATTAAAACTAGAATAGATTCCACTATAGTGGATTAAGAACTGTTAGATTGTAATTAGCATCAACAAATGACACTGAAGACTTTACATAGGCATCCAAGTATAAAGAGACCAGATATATCTTTCATTAGCAAGAGGAACACCAACATTGTTAACTACTGATGTGAAGGACATAGAAAGTAGAGTTAGAAGGGCTTGGTGACAGGCAACGGAGAACTACAACTTAATCCTAATTTTACCATTTATGGATGTGTGACTTTAACAGATTATACCTGTCTGGCCCTTATTTCATCTACAAACTGGAGAAAATTGTTGATAGCCTACCTTACTGGGTAACTGTAAAGATGAATATGTGAGAAAACAGAAAGTTAATGAAATAAGTATTATTCTGTCATCACCTACATCATAATATAGATACTTTATGCTTAAAGAAGTAAATACTTTGCAAGTGTTTGCTACTGAGAACCCTGTAAAATAAGGCTATGCTTTATTTTATCAACAAAGATATTAATAAACATAACCTTAGATATTCAGCTAACCTGTGCTTTCCTTATTAAAAGCAGAACATCTCTATTTAGTACCAAAAAGTGCAAAGATAAAGTCACAATCCGCTAAATTTTGCTTTTAACTCTACATTAACAACTTACCGTCTTCATAACAAGATTTGTTGACAAGTCCTGGATTTTCTACAAGAGCTGTATTAATTTCAGTTACTTCACCTGACAGAGGAGAATAGAGTTCACTAGCAGCTTTCACACTTTCCAAAGCACCAAACTCATCTAAATTAAGAAAACATTAAATGTTAAAAGTTAATGACCTAAAAATGCCAATATAGAAAATTTCAAGTACAATCATGATAAAATTCCAAGTATCTTTATTTAAAAATAAAATTGTAGATTTTGTCATGTTTGTATTACCTATGAGAAGGGTATCAATATTCTCAATAAAGCAGACCTATTTCTTTTTGACAGCGTAAAAAAATGGTGATGTATCCAAATACCAGAAGTGCTTGAGTTCACTAAAACTAAACCTTCTTTCAATTTACTATGGCTCAGAAAAAAATAAAAATAAAAATTCAGAATATTCCAGAAGCAGTAAAGTACCTCAGATCAACCTTTCTAAAGATACACCAAAAAAACAATTATGTGAAGGATCTGTAGGATAATCAAAAGGAGAGTCAATGATTGGGGGGGGAAAGGGGAGGGGAGAGAAAGGGACTCAAACTGAGATCTTCTTTTATACAATGCATACACTGATAACACCACGCTATCCAAAGACCACAGTGTAATTAGAACACAAGTAGAAAACCAGTCTTATTTCTTTGAAGGATCAAAGGATGAAGTATGGGGCTGCCAATGTGGCTGGAAAATGAGGGTTTCCTAGAAAGATAGGAGGATGGAAAAGAGAAAAAGTAGTCAGCAGAAAGATCCCCAAATGACCCACAGATCCACCTGATGGAATTACCAGAGAACCTATAAATAGCTATTATGAGCATATTTAAAGGCTTTTTTAAAAAGATCATCATAATAAGTGAACATATGGAGGAATTCTTATAAATAAATAGAAATTTTTAATTGGACTTTTTAGAACTGAAAGTAAACTATTCGCTCAATGGCATAAACAGCACACTGGATATAGTAAAACAAAGGATCAGTGAACATGAAGAATGATAATCTGAAACTAACCCAACTAAAGTACAGTTAAAAAAAAAAAAAAGCTGGCTCTGGCAGGTTTGGCTCAGTGGATAAAGTGTCAGGCCTGCAGACTGTAGGGTCCAGGTCCCATTCCTATGAAGGGCATGTGCCCAGGTTGCAAGGTTGATCTCCAGTAGGGGCATGCAAGAGACAGCCAATTAATGATTCTCATCATTGATGTTTCAATCTCTCTCCCTCTATCTTCCTCTCTGAAATCAATAAAAATATATCCTTTAAAAAAGGCTGAAAAATTAATAGAGCCTTAGACACCAAGACAATATCCAATGATTTGAAGTGAATGATGAGAATACATACCAAAATATTTGGGATACTAGAGGCCCGGTGAATGAAATTCATACACGGTTAGGGCTCTAGACCTGGCCAGTGATCAGGGCCAATCAGGGCCATCCAGCTGCTGGCTGGGGCCTTCCTTCCTTCTGCACCGCCCCCTAGTGGTGAGTGTACATCATAGTGAGAGGTCGAACTTCTGATCAGTTGAACTCCCAAGGGGACAATTTGCATATTAGCTTTTTATTATATAGGATAGCTAAAATGGTGCTTAGGAGGAGATTAATGTCTTTAGCTTTTGTTTAAAAAGAACATCTTATCTGTACAATCAGTCTGCAGGCAGAGGTGGGTCTCTGAAGGCTTTGAGTCTTTGCCTAATGAATTTGTCAGAAACAGCGTTATACACTGCTCTGCAATGAAGATTGGGAGGCGTAACAGATCTACCTAATACATAGTCACAAACCCAAACAGGCAGCCAAAATAGGGAGACAAAAAAAGAAAGGAAAAAAAAAAGCTCCAAATGAAAGAATAAGAGAATTCTCCAGAGGAAGAGCTAAATGAAATGGAGAAAATAAATTAGACATAGAGTTGAGAATAATGATGGCAAAGATGCTTAACAGCATGAGAAAACATATGAAGAATGTCACAGCACTAGTAAAGAACAGGGAAGGAACACGCAGTAGATTAGGGGAAGCCAAGGATTGGATCAGTAAATTAGAAGACAGTGTAGAAAAAAAATCATGCAGAGAACCAAAAAGTAAAGAACAGGACAGCTGTGGGACATCATATGTAACTATATCCACATAATAAATGTACCAGAAGGGGTAGAAAGGGAGCAAGGGATAGAGAATGTGTTTGAAAAAAAATAATGGTAGAAAACTTCCCTAAAATGGTGAAAGAAAAGATCATACAAGTTCAGGAAGCACAGAGTCCCAAACAAGAGGAACCCAAACAGGCCCATGCCCAGACACATCTTAGTTAAAATGCCAAAAATTAAAGACAAAGAGAAAATCTTAAAGGCAGCAAGAGAAAAGCAACCATAAGGCTGTCAGATGTTTTCTCATCAGAAACTCTACAGGCCAGAAGGGAATGGCATGAAGTATTCAAAGTAATGAAAAGCAAGGATTTGAAACCAAGATTACTGTATCCAGCAAGGCTATCATTCAAAATGGATGGTGATGCCCTAGCTGGTTTGGCTCAGTAGATAGAGTGTTGGCCTGTGAACTGAACGTTCCCAGGTTCATTTCTGGGCAAGGGCACATGCCTGGGTTGTGGGCTTGACCCCCCAGTGGAGGACTTGCAGAAGGCAGGTGATCCATGATTTTCTCTCATCATGGATGTTTCTATCTCTCCCTCTTCTTTCCTCTCTGAAATCAATAAAAATATAATTTACAAAAATAGATGGTGAAATAAAGAGCTTCCCAGACAAAAAAAAAGGAGTTTATTACCACCAAACCAGCACTGCATGAAATGCTAAAGGGCCTGCTTTAATAAGAAGAATAAAGAGACAGTGAAACACAGGCATAAATAATTAAGATGGCAACAAATAAATACCCATCTATATATATGAGCTGAAGCGACTGTCTGACCAATAACTATGATGTGCAATGACCACCAGGGGAAGAAGGTTCAACTGGTAGCTATGACACACACTGACCACGTGGGAGCAGTCGCTCAATGCAGGAGCTGCTGAGTGACAGCAACTTTGCGGAGTGCCCTCTTGCACTCCAGAACTCCTTGGGGGATGTCAGACTTCCAGTTTTGGCCCAATCTCAGCAGGCCAGGCTGAGAGACCCCGCTTACTCCTCAGACACCCTTCCAGCCCCAGCACCATTCCAGGTGTCACCGGTGAGGAGGGGGCCTCGGGAGGTTGGCTCCAGGGCATGTCTGGCCCGTCTCACCCAGTTCCCCCCGCCGGCCACCTTCTAATTAATTTCTTTTCAATGTGCAAAAATCCATTCACTGGGCCTCTAGTCAATAATAACCTTAATGTAAATGGATTAAATGCTCCAATCAAAAAACATAGGATAGCTGAATGGATACAAAAACATGACCCAATTATGTGCTGTCTACAAGAGACCCACCTCAAAACAAAAACTCAGGATGAGAGTGAAGAAATGGAAATTTTCCATGCAAAAGGCAACGAGCAAGCCACTACAAGAGACTATATAAGTCACTACTTAAAACTAAAGGTATCGGTCCATCAAGAGGATTTAACCCTGATAAACATGCACCCAACATAGGAGCATCTAAACACTTAAAAGAAAAAAAAAAACTTCTGGAAGACTTTAAGGGAAATATCAACAGCAATATAGTCATAGTAGGGGACTTTCACATCCCAATGACTACTGGATAGGTTTTTAGACAAAAAAAATTAACAAGGAAATAGTAACTTTAAAGGATACACTGGATCAGATGGGTTTAATTGACATTTATAGAATATTTCACCCCAAAACTGCCAAATATACATTCTACTCAAGTGCACATGGGTCATGCACATTCTCAAAGATAGACCATGTTAGGACACAAAACAAGTCTATACAAATTCAAGAAGATTGAAATCACATCAAGCATCTTCTCAGTTCATAATGGAATGAAATTAGAAATCAACTACAATAAAAACACTAAAAAACTTTCAAATACATGGAGGCTAACTAACATTTATTAAACAATGAATGGGATACCAATGAGAGCAAGAAAGAAATTAAAAACTTCCTGGAAACAAAATGAACGTACAACAATGCAAAATTTCTGAGACATAGCAAAAGCAGCCCTGAGAGGAAAGTTCATAGCATTATAGGTCTACTTCAAAAAACAACAAAAATTAATAATAAACTACAGCTTAAAGAATTAGAAAGAACAACCAGAAAAGCCCAGAGTAAGTAGAAGGAAGGAAATAATAAAGTCTAGAGCAGAAATAAATAGCATAGAAACTAGAAAAATAACACAAAAGAACAATGAAACCAAGAGCTGGTTCTTTGAAAGGATATACAAGATTGATGTTACCTTTAGCCAGGCTCAAGAAACAGAGGACCCAAATAAGTAAAATCAGAAATGAAAGCAGTGAAGTAACAACTGGCACCAGAGAAATAGAAAGGATTGTAAGAAAATACTATGAACAACTATTTGATGTGGATGACATGGACAAGTTCCCCAAAAAATAGTCTTCCAAAACCGAATCAGGAAGAATCAGAAAACGTGAAAAGGCCAATAACAACTGATGAATAGAAGCAGTAATCAGAACACTCCCAGCGTGGCACAGTGGTTGAGCATCGACCTATGAACCGGGAGGTCACATTCCTGGGCTGCAGGCTCAATCCCCAGTAAAGGGCATGCAGGAGGCAGCTGATCAATGATTCTATCTCATCCTTGATGTTTCTATCTCTGTCCCTTCCTTTCTAAAACCAATTAAAAATATATATTTTTTAAAACTTTTTCATGAAAAATAAATAAATGAAAAGGTAAAACCACAGGCTATGGCAAAATATTTACAAAATATATATCTGGTAAAGAATTTATATCTAGAATACATAAAGAATGCCTAGCTCTGGCCAGTGTTGTTCAGTGGTTAGAGTGGTTAAAGATATCTCAGATTCGATTCCTGGCCCCAATTGGGGCACATGCAGTAGGCTATCAATCGATGTTTCTCTCACATCAATGCTTCTGTCTCTGCCTCTCTCTCTCCTTCCCACCCTCCCTTACATTCTCTCTAAAATCAATGGAAAAATATCCTCCTATGAGGATAAACAAACAAAAAGTATGACTAAAAGTCAATGGTAAAAACACACACACACACACACACACACACAAAAAAAAAAAAAACCCCACAAATTGGTAAAAGACTTGACCAGAGATTTCACAAATAAAGATGTTAGTAAAGCCGAAACCGGTTTGGCTCAGTGGATAGAGTCGGCCTGCGGACTGAAAGGTCCCAGGTTCGATTCCGGTCAAGGGCATGTATGTTGGTTGCGGGCACATCCCCAGTAGGGGGTGTGCAAGAGGCATCTGATCGATGATTCTCTCTCATTGATGTTTCAAGCTCTCTATTTCTGTCTCTTCCTCTCTGTAAAAAATCAATAAAATATATTTAAAAAAAAAAAAGATGTTAGTAAAAAGCACAAAGTTGCTCAACAATAATGTTCCTAAGGAAATTCAAGTTTAAACCACAATGAGATCTATAGCTTTTGGAAAACTGAGTCTCATATTGTTGATGAGAATGTAAAATGGTACAAACATGGAAAACTGCTTGGCAGTTTCTTATTAAGTTAAACATATACCAACACTATGGGCCAGAAATACTACTCCTGTATGTACTTACCCAAGAGAAGTGAGACATATATTCACAAAAAGAGACTTATACAAAAACAGTTTATAGTAGCTTTATTCATAGCAACTCCCAACTAGAAATAACATAAAAATCCATCAACAGGAAAAAGGATAAAAATGTGGCTATTCATACAGTGGGACACTCTTTAGCAACTAAAAATTGAACTACTGCCCAGCTGGAGTAGCTCAGTGGTTGAGCGTCAACCTTTGAACCAGAAGGTTACTATTCAATTCCCAGTCAGGGCACATGCCATGTTGAGGGTTTGATCCCCAGTGGGTGGTGCATAGGGGAGGCAGCCAATCAATGATTCTCTCTCATCATTGACGTTTCTATCTCTCTCTCTCCCTTCCTCTCTGAAATCAATAAAAAACAAAACAAAACTGATCAACATGAATGAATATCAAAAATCATGACACTGGATAAAAGAAATCAGACATAATACATACTGTGTGATTCCTTTTAAAAAGTTGAAGAATGGGCAAAACTTATCTATGGGGACATAAATCAGAAGAGGTTGTCTACGGAGAAGGGTTTCAATTGGGAAGAGTCATGCAGTATGTCGTTGGATGGTATACTTAAGATCTATGTATTTTCACTATATCAATTTAAAAACACATTTTGTAGAAAGTTTAAAGAAGGAATTTTTAAGTTTAAGGATATTACCAGCATATTTATATTAATAGAATTTTTAATGCACAAAAAGGCTCATGACACTCACTTACTATAAAGAAATTTTCAAAAATTTATGGTCTGCTTGAGTAGCAGAGTGGGTACACAATAAGTAAAAGAAGTTGAGAAAATGAGAACTATGTGTTGATACATAGAAAAAAAGATTATTAATCACACTGAGGGTTTTATCATGACATCAGAATTGGTTTCTAGGAAGATCTTCAAAAAGAGGGATGTAACCAACCAGGATGTTGAGAGACAGGAAGCAGAAAAATATCGAACAAGATAAATGATGGGGAAAGTTTAAGCAGAAAAAGAGATGGCCAGTACTGTCAAAGATACTTACATTATGCTAAATTTCATTTAATCCTTATAACTCTATGAAATAGATATTATTATTATTACCCTAACTCACATATGAGACCTAGATTATGTATGTTCCTCAAAATCACACATCGATTATGTTGTGAGACCAGGCTTGAAAACCAGGTTCTGAACCCCTTTTAGCTCATAGGCTTTACTACCTCAAAGAAAAGCAGATTTTAAAAAATATATCTTTTTATTGATTTTTTACAGAGAGGAAGAGAGAGGGATAGAGAGTTAGAAATCAGCTGCCTCCTGCACAGCTCTCACTGGGCATGTGCCCGCAACCAAGGTACATGCCTTTGATCGGAATCGAACCTGGGACCCTTCAGTCCGCAGGCCGACGTTCTATCCACTGAGCCAAATTGGTTTTGGCGGAAAAGCAGATTTTACTTTTTAAACTTAGTAGGCCTCAATATGAATATGTGGAGTGGAGAGCAAAGAGACTAACCATTTCCCTCTACTTCTTCCTATCTTCAATTAAATGTCTAAAAATGCTCATTATTCTCTTTGCCATCATCTTTACAACTAGGAGTGGCAAATATAACTCACATCTGGCTAATGAGATGTAAGAGAATAAAAATGAAAACCTGTCCGTCTCTTCCTGTTTTTGGACATTGTCATTTGAAAATGTGACAGTGTCTAAGATTTTGATGTGATGTTGTGAACTGTGACACATAGAGGCAGAAAAAAATACTAAAAGAGGTCATGCCTTCACTGAACCACTCCACCAATCCTCTCTTCATCTATGTCCAGACTATTTGTATTAGTATAAGATATAAATCCTTAGCCCTGGTCAGTGTGGCTTTGTTGGTTGAGCATCGTCCCATGCTCCAAAGGTGGAATTCCAGTTCAACTCCCAGTTAGGGCACATGCCAAGGTTGCATGTTTGATCCTCAGTTAGTGGAGGTGTGTATGGGAGGCAACCAATTGATATTTCTCTCCCTCTTCCTTCCTCGTTCTTGTAAATGTTCTGTTACTTGAATGAAAAACACTCTTATTGATCCTGGGTGCATAAAAGTTATTCAAGCCCTGGCCAGTGGTGCATATGAGAGGCAACTGATAAATCTCTCTCTCTCTCTCTCTGTCTCTCTCTCCCTCCTCCCTCTTCTTTCCTCCTTCCCTCCCTCTTACCCCCTACTCCCCTCCTTCCTATCTCTCTGAAATCAGTGGAAACATCCTCTGGTGAGGATTTTTTTAAAAAGTTATTATTCAAGGTAAAGGTTAAAGAAAATTCATGGCATGAATGATGACAAACCAAGGTAAGAAAAATACTCACCTTGCTTGTTCAATTTTGTCCCAATTTCAGGCAGACTACAGTAAACAACATCTCCCAATGCTTCCTAAAAACAAACAAACAAAAAAAAAAACTCTAAGAAATAAAATTAAACCTCCTAATAAATAGGAGCAAGCCAAACACTGAATCCCCTGGAATTTCAGATAGTAGTACAAATTTTACATTTGATAGGCCATATTTTTTTTTTTTTTCTTACAACCCTTTAAAACACAAAATTATTCTTGGCTCAGGACCTGCAAGGAAACAGGCCACTAGCTGGATTTCCCACAAGAGATCCACCTTAAAACAAATCGTATGTTCTCCAAAAGATTACTATCTCCTCTGAGAAGAATCACATTTTGCGTTTTTTCACTTCTGCAGCCATTTCTTCCTCAGCATTTGCTTAAATCTTAGCTATTAATTCTTCAACTCATAGTCACATGCCTTATACTCTTTGAAGATTTTGATTCCAATAAGAAATTATCTCTCCACCAGATTACTACCCATTGTACCACTCAGGTTATCCATCTTGTAATGTTTTGTGTGTCGTTTTCCATGTAGGTTATTATACTGATAAATTCTAGGAGGTATGGACACTGTACAATATTTCATAAGCACCCTATACTGGGCTTCAGTAGGTACACAGATATACCAATGAAGATATAGTTGTCCTTGACTTTCAATACCTGATATTCCAACATTTCTATAAAATATTTTATATTTCCATCAGTTATCATCCCCTTTCCCCATAATATCCCACCTCCCAGAGATCCAGTTTAAAATTATTACCTGGTACTGCCATTTGACTTAACGTTTTCTTTTACACAATATTTCAAATAAGGGATCAGTGGGAATAGGGGAGTTAATAGAGAAATTGATGGGCTAAATAAAAGGTTTCCCTCTGCGTAATCTGTGCCAATCTAGGTTTTCCCCTCTTCATCTCCCCTGGTCATGTGTGTTTCACTGTATCCACAAAACACTATCAACACTCTACCCTTTTGCTGCTTCTTTTCTTAACTACCCCAATATGAAACAAACACATTTCTTTCTTGAATAAGGATTATTTCCGACCTTCAATTTAAAAAACTTTTCAATATCTCTAACACTACATACTCCCCTAACCAGATTGTTTTTCACTTATTTCACTTATTGGTATTTCTCTACGGGCCTATAAAGGGCCCAAAATACTAAGGGCAGAATAAACAAATTTTAAACGACAGAGCCAACCCAATTTAGGTGACAGAGGACTATTTTAACTATTTCGAGACAATCCAATACCTGTGCAAAATTGCTGATTCCCACTGTTCCAATACCATTTTCTGTTGTTATCCATTCATGTTTCTCTGTGAATTTACGCACTAAAATAGAAGACCAATATTTCAGAAAAGCAGTAGCATCACTTCTTATAATGCATTTTTTTTATATTAATGCTGTCAAAAGAGAAAACTGTTCTAGTATCTGGTCTGACTTATTGACATTGCCTTTCAATAGTACATGACCTGGAAGAAATGATCGCTACTAGATGGTACATCTTACCAGTGCTATCACATAGACAAAGATAGCTTGATGTGAACACCTTACGCATCTTTTGGAGATTTGATTATCTGCTCTATCCTTATTTAGTCTAAATCATGCACAAGAAATATAAGGATATTTCAAATGAATCATTATTTACTAATTGGTCTGTCTTGCAGAAAAGTGTGTCCCTCTGAATACAGATTTGGAGTGATGAAGTTTTGGAATGATCACAGACTACTCATAAATTATTTAAGCTAAAAAATAACGTGCCTTTTTAGAGTTGACCTAAGACAGCTTCCCTGCAACTTGGTTGCTTGCAGGCAAAGTGGAATCTTATAGGAATGAAATTGACATAGTAAATTACAACTTTAAGTTCTTAAAATTCCATTTTAATGGAATTCAGGCCTGTGTGAAAGAAATAGGCTAACATCGTTTAAAGAAGCAAACTATAAGAAAACTCAACAGTTACCTCAGAGCCTTGAACAGTTGGAAAATCAAGTTTTATTGATCTTTCATTGGACAGGTTAGACCCTGGTTTTCTTTTTTTTTTTTTAAATACATTTTTATTGATTTCAAAGAGGAAGGAAGAGGAAGAGAGAGATGGAAACATCAATGATGAGAGAGAATCATTGATTGGTTGCCTCCTACACGCCCCTCACTGGGGGCCAAGCCCACAACCCAGGCATGTACCCTTGACCAGAATCAAATCCAGGACCATTCGGTCCACAGGTTGATTCTCTATACACTGAGCCAAACCATTTAGGGCTTGGCTTTCTTTATGAGTTTCTCTTCAAAGATATGGTTGCCCTAGCTGGTTTGGCTCAGTGGATAGAGTGTTGGCCTGTGGACTGAAGGGTACTGTGTTCGATTCTGGTCAAGGGCACATGTCAGGTTTGCAGGCTCGATCCCCAGTGTGGAGGGTGCAGAAAGCAGCCAATCAATAATTTTCTCTCATCCTCAATGTTTCAATCTTTCTATCCCTCTCCCTTCCTCTGGAAAATCAATAAAAAAAGTTTATTAAAAAAAAAAAAGATATGGTCAAATATTCAACAATTCCTGGAAGAAAATCTGACCAAAATTTAAGATATATGAAAAAAAATTATTTAGGGTTTAATGTTAAAAGTACTTGCTTTAAGAAATAAGCAATTTTTTAAAAAGTATATACTAACTTATATATATATTACTTTCCAAAATGAAGTATTTTTTCCAAAAATAATACATCAGAAGTGAATTGGGAAATGGTTCATTAATTCCAATACTTTTAAAGTAAGCCATGCTGGTTCACGCTCCCTATTACCCAAATACAGCTCTGAAGCGCAACAGAATCTAAAAAAAGTATAGCTTATTCCTTTCTTTTCCCCTTAGCATTAAAAAACTTTTATTTTGTATTCTTCAGAGGGAAAAGTTGCAAAATCTGTGACAAAGGAATTTGCTTTGTTCCACTTCAAATAACTGAATGCTTTTAGATCTATCTAATCCTTTTATTTAAAAGCTTAAGATTTGACCTATTGATGTTGCTACCGTGTTTCCCCGAAAATAAGACCTACTTACAGGTTTCCTGCTGAGTGAAATATAAGGCATTCCCCCAAAAATAAGGCCCCCCCTATGCTAAACATGAGAGATTTGGTCCACTGATTCTGAAAGAAATGAAGTCACAAGAAATTCACCAGGAAATTCAGGAATTGGATTGTTATGATGATGTTCCAGAAGATGATGACATGATTGTCATTGAATAAATGAGTAAATTCTTGATACTGTAGGATTCACAGTTTGTCTAGTTTGTACCGTATACAGGTAATAAATTTCCTTTATTTTCATTTAACAATAAATGTGTACCGTATTCTTCTTCATAGAAAAATAAGACATCCCCTGAAAATAAAATCTAGCGCATCTTTGGGAGCAAAAATTAATATAAGACACTGTCTTATTTTCGGGAAAACAGGATAGGTTGTTAGAGCATTGGCCCACTGATTGAAGGGTCTTGGGTTCGCTTCCCAGTTAAGGGCACGTATCTCAGTTGCAGGTTCAATACCTGGCCCCAGTGGGGGCTTGAGTTTGGGAGGCAGCCAATGGATGTGTCTCTCTCCCTGCCATGCCTTCCACTCTCTGTAAAAGTCAATGGAAAAAATATTTTCATTCCTTCAGTGAGGATTTTTTTAAAAAAAAGTTTAAGGCTTATACTTGATGTTCTGACTGCAACACTGTCCCCACATTTCACTTTTTTCTTGACTATTGCATAGTTCAGTTTGGAAGCTCTTTCCTGCCACAAGCCTAGTCTTGCCCTTTAAGACTGGGCTCCTGGGCCCATCCCGCACGTTCCCATAGCACTCTGCACTGTCCTCCTCCCTCCATATCCCCAAACACATTCACAGAACTTAACATATTACAGACATAGCCCACTTACTAATTTTCCCCAGGAAGATAAGTACAGAGTTTATTTTATTTGTACTCTCATTTCTAAAATATTTGATAAACTCTTAAAAGTTGGAGCTAAGACATTTTTTAAAGTTTAAGTAAAAGGGATTTTAAGCAAAGTATCTAGTATTTAATTATTTGGCTACAACACTGAGTTCTCCCTATCATTCTCTTACAACTCTAGAACTGGTTGTTTAAAACTAACATACTTTTTAAAAGGCTGTAGAACTATAAATATGACTACTCTGAGACCATTGTCCTGGTTTTGGCCTTGCCATCTTTACCTATTGTAAAGATAATCTTAAGATGGCTCTCACATTCAATTTAGTAACTTGAACAGCAAAAGTTTAGAAGAAGAGGCAGCCACATTGCTAAGCTAAATAAATGTGCCAAGGTCCACTTGACTTTAAGTCCATTTAAGCCTTTTTTCTAGGCCAGGCCATTTAGGTTCAATGATTAGTACAATTCTTTAACCCTTGGCACAATAGGAAAAAAGTAGACAGGCGATTATGTAAATAATTACTTTCTTACTGAGCTTTCAGCCTCACATAATTAGGTGTTTTGAGTAATCTATGTAAGGTTTGTATTTCCCTTCTTTCAAAGTCACTAAGCAAACAAAATATATTAATATCGGTCCATTTTTTTGCTTTTTGATCCTATGAACTAAAATGTAATAACATCAAGTACTTACTATGTGCCAGGCATTATGTACAACATTACTATTATTTCACCCTCCTAACAACTCTGTGAGGTAAGACTATCATTTCCATTTTCCTGATGAGGGAAACTGACTCAGTTTTTCTTGCTATAACTAGTAAAAATCTAGATCCAGTGTTTTCACTTCAATAAGTGCTCTTGCTTTGCTTTTAGAGTTCTCATTGATATGATCCGTGGAGCAAACTAAAAGCCTATTATTTGTCTCCACTTTTAGGGTCCACAAGTGAGAGATAACCTAAGGTCACGAAGAAGCTTAGGGCCACTAGCCTGATTCTCCAGGAGCTAGCGGCAGACTCCCGGCCAGGATGGGGTGATCTAGCGGGCTCCAGCAATCCGTCCCCGCCTTCCCCCCCCTCAACCTCCCTAACCTGCAGGACAAAGGCTGCGGCGTCGGCCGCGCCACTTAGGGAGGTGAGGAGGGGCTGCACAGTTAGAGATCCCAGCAATAAAATAAGTGCAAGTCGCAGGGCTCGACCAGTGAGATCAGCACCCGGAACTTGATGTAAGGATCAGGGCGGGGAAGGGAGGCGTCCCGGCTCACCCACACCCCGAGGCAGCCCCGCTTAACCCACGTGCCCACTCGTGCTTACCCAACAGCAGACTGGGACCGGTGCGCAGCATCCGGATGGCGCCCACCCTCAGGCCCCAGGGCCGCGGCGGGCAGGGCGTAGCGGGCGCCCACGCGGCGCGCAGGCTGCAGGCCGCGGCCCGCACGGTCCGTGCGGCTTGGAGCGCCATGTTCGCGGAGGACTCGCGGCACAGCTCCAAGGCCGCCCCAGCGGGTGGAGGCGGGAGCAGGGGCAGCCCCGGAGCGAAGGTGGCCAACACGCGGGGGCGGAGCCTGCAAGTGCAGGGGGCGGAGCCTGGAACCGCAGGGGGCGGGGTTTGGATAGGGTGACGCGAAGGGCGTGAACTTGCTGAAGGTCCTCTAGCCCGGAAGGGGCGGCAGGGGAGGGAAGAGTACAAGTGCGAAGGGGCGGGGACCAGCTGGGCCAGCTGCTGGGCTGTGGAGCAGGGCCACCCCAGGAGGCGTGGGGCTACACCTCTGGACCTTGCTTCCAGGCGAGTTAAAGTGATAGATCAGCAAATCCCTTTTCCGCAACTCGCGTGGGGCCTGGGCGGATAGGCAGGTTTTAGGCATCCCCTAACTGTTGGGCCCAAGAGTCCCAGGGAATGCAGGGTACACCCAGTCCTGTTAAGGGATGCAGTCCTGCCCTCCTTATGGAGGTTGAAGGGCAGGCAGAGTTAATTCAGACAAGTCCAAACAGAATCATCACTGGAGAAGATGGTTGTTGGGCATTGGCCAAGTGCTTGCTGACATAACTATAGTTTTTAAATCAAATTTATTGGAGTGACATTGGTTAATAAGGTCACATAGATTCCTAGGGTATCCTATATAATAAAAGGCTAATATGCAAATTGACTGGATGGCGAATGACTGTTGGCGAATGACTGGTTCCTATGATGTGCACTGACCACCAGGGGTCAGAAGCTCAATGCAGAAGCTGCCCCCTGGTGGTCAGTGTGCTCCCACAGGGGGAGCCCCTCAACCCAAAGCCCTGAGCCTCTCCAGCCTCCTCAGCAGCACTCAGGATGTTGGACATCCCCTGAGGGCTCCCAGGCTGCCAGAGGACGCAAGCCGGCTGAGGGGACCTCCCTCCTCTATCTCCCCTCCCCCCCCTCCCCCCCCCCCGCCACACACACACACACACACACACACACACACACACACATGCATTTCTAGTCACAGCTGTTTGTCATCTGTGCCCAATCAGTTGCTCAGACTTGTGGTCAACACAACCCTTTTTCTTAAAGTCCTTAGTCCCTCCCCCACTGATCTGTGACTTCCCAGCCTGTCTGTTTCTGGAATTTCCTGGCAGCCTGCCCCCATTTCCAGGGATTTATTTGGTCGTGCTGGTATTCAGCCCTCCTGAATATCAAAGTCCATTGCCCTTCCAGTGTTTCTTCTGCACTTTTATGCTAACAGCGCTTTGCTTTCGCCTCCGGCACATCATTGATGCTTCTATCTCTCTCTTCCTCTTTGAAATCATTAAAAAATATATTTAAAATAAAAGAAAAACAAAAAAACTTTCTTAAAATTCAAACCCTGGCAAGATTGTCCAACTTATTTTACCAAAAGATCATATATCATTACTATTATTATAAAACAGTACTACACTATTCATTCAAAGTGACAAAAGATATTAAACAAACATAGGCTAGTAAAACTTTAGTTCCCCCAGTTAAAAAGATGGCTTTTTATTTATTTTTTATTTATTTATTTTTAAATATATTTTATTGATTTTTTACAGAGAGGAAGAGAGAGGGATAGAGAGAAACATCGATGAGAGAGAATCATCGACCAGCTGCCTCCTGCACACCCCCTACTGGGGACGTGTCCACAACCAAGGTACATGCCCTTGACCGGAATCGAACCCGGGATCCTTCAGTCTGCAGGCCAATGCTCTATCCACTGAGCCAAACCAGTTTCGGCAGAAGATGGTTTTTTAAAATAATCAAGTGTTAACATAAGAAACATTCAAACCTGTAAATAATTTTTGTTTGAGCCAAACTGTCAACAATTACCAGGAAGCAAAATCTCAAAGCATTGAGGTGATGCTCCTGAGAATGGTGGTTTTTCACCTTGTTTTATACATTACAATCAGAAGAGAAAACTCCAAGGTCCTGGGGGCAAGGTTGACTCCCAGGTTGGCGTGGGGTGGGGCTACAACTCCCAGCCAGGTTAGTATGTGGTTAGAACTTTCCTCCCTTTTTTGAGCAGACTGGGGTGGCTTGTATGGATGGTGGCTTCCTCCTTTGGCTCCTGCAGCACCTTGTCTCTTCTCTACCCACTTCCCCCCCACACACACCTTTTAAAATACCCAACCTTCTCTCATATCATCTAATTGTTCATATATGTGGAAATAATAACCATGTAAGCCCTCCTTTGTGATGGCAATTAGTTCTAATTAACGCAGTGGGCTCAAACTCATCTACATTTTAGGGGGAAAAAACACACAAAAACAACAAAACAGGAAAATATTAAAAATACTGTGCTGGGGCTCTGTCCCCAGACATCCTGATTTAGTAGGCCTGGAAATCAGGGTTGAATCATTCCCCTGAGTGATTTTGGTGAAGAGTTAGGCCTGAGAACCATTGGGTTAAAGGGAGACTATGAATTTGAAGCATATAACTTGGTCTTAAAAGAAACCGGTTTGGCTCAGTGGATAGAGCGTCGGCCTGCGGACTGAAAGGTCCCAGGTTCGATTCCGGTTAAGGGCATGTACCTTGGTTGCTGGCACATCCCCAGTAGGGGGCGTGCAAGAGGCAGCTGATCGATGACTCTCTCTCATCGATGTTTCTAACTCTCTATCTCTCTCCCTTCCTCTCTGTAAAAAATCAATAAAATATATATATATTTTTTAAAAAGTACTTTTAAAATTTAGGACCTAACTACAAAACGATTTATCTATTTCAACAAGTAAACAAAATTTGCAAGTTTCTGAAATAAACACAAACTTTGGTTATTTGACTAATCAAAATACAACGGAGGGTTTCCTATAATGCCAAACTTAACGATACTCAGGTTTCTATCAAAAGTGGCAGATTTCTTTTGTTTTCTGACACTCAATATAAAAAGAGTACTCTCTTGCTGTAAAATTGTTTTATTAATCATCTAAGCAAGAAACCAGTCTATGTGGATGTAAAAAAAAAAAAAAAAGAACATGTTTAGATCATTGTAAGGAATCATAAAGCATGGCTAGCATGGGGACAGTGCTGGTTCAACAATCACACTGGCTGCCAATGATCTCAGTCATGTGCGACCTAAAACAGACTCACCATTCTCTCTTCCTAGAACTCAGGCTTTGTTCTCTAAGCACAACTAGACAGACTTTTAATGTAAAAGGCCAGATGGTACATATTTGAGGCCCTGTGGGCCAGTTTCCGTCCCAGTGACTTAACCTGGTTTAGCAGGAAAGCAGCCATAGATAACACATAAGGGGACAAATGAGGTGGTGTTCCAATAAACTTAACTTACAAAAGCAGGTGGAGGGCTGCATTTAGCTCCCGTGTCATCTTTTGCAGACCCCTTCAAGAGCTAAACTATCTTTAAGTTTTTTAAATAACTGTTCTGCATAAGGTTTACAATCAAGTTAAATAAAAATAAAAGTACTTTGATAATTTTTGAGCTCAAAGAATTCTATTGATACTGAGACATTTTTATGGACAGGGGCTTTTAGAGATGGTAGAGTTTTTGTCATATATTTGGTGTGGCAGAACTGAGCCCCAGTTATCCACATGGAAACCACTCATCACCCCACTTCCCATTGGCTTTCTTCTCTCCCCCTGCACTTTCCCCTTCCCTACCAATGATCCCTATGATCACCTCCCAAACCAACTATATTACCCAAACCTGCTTGTGGGGAACCCAAACTAAGAAATACATATAGGCTTTAAAGCTTTCAGTCAGAGGAAGCCTATCTGAAGATATAATAGTCTTTGGGCTGAAAATGAAAGAATAAGAGGACTTAGCCAGAAGAAAAGGTAGGGAAGAGAGATAAGCACATTCCAGCAGACTAGGTGAAACAGTCTGGGCAAAGGCCTGGGGTTGGGAGTGGGCACGGTGTCCCAGGAGCTGTAGAATCCTGTGTCACTGGAACTCAAGGTACCAGGGGCCGAGAGAGGTGACCTGCTATGGATGGAGCCACAGTGGGGAGTTTGATCCGAAGGGCCAATAAAAAAAATTTTAAGTGTCGGGCAGAAGCTGGAGTGAGCTAAAATCTTGGGAAAATGTCCAAGGTGCAGTGTGGGGCTCATCAGAGGTTGCAAAGTTCCTTTTCAAGGCTGTGTTGAGAACCAACAAGTGGAAATATTGCTCATGGGTAATCTTGGCTGCCTACCCAGGATTTCTCTAATTAGAGCAAACACTTTCTGTTCCTTGAGGTGGATAGTTTTCTTCTCAATGTTGGCAGCCAGAGGCGGCTGGTAGACATCCTTTCTGCTGTTTCTTCATACTTGGAACAGGGCAGAAGGATCTGTGAAAGCAAGAACACAAGGATAGTTACCCCATTGGCAGTAGAATCTGGCTATACATTTGCATCCAGGTATAGGTAGGATTCACAGTTCCTCCCTTGTGGGAACCATTACCCAACACTGCCCTTCATGCTCTACCCACGCTATTCCAGGGCCCAGAACTCCATTCTTTTTTCTTCATGTGGGGAATTGCCCTGGTACTGAAAATGAATACCTTTCCCTCTTGGAAGATGGCATCTCACTCCTGGATGCCATCTTCCTTGCACTCCTGGAAAGATCCAAACACTTTCCTAAGATGGATCCTAACACTTTCAAAAGGATGAAAGAATGAGGGTAAATAGTATTTCAAAGTTCTGTCATGTCTAATTCCAGTATCTTCTTTTTCAGACATTATTGAGATATAATTTTCATAAATTTGTTCATTGAAAATCTACAATTCATTGATTTTAGTACATTTTAAACAATCTAATTTTAGAACATTTTCATCACCATCGGAAGGTTCTCTCATGTCTCATTGAAATCAGTCCTTACTCTCACTCTATTCCCACTCTCAGCCCCATTCATTTGCTTTCTGCCTCTATAGCTTTTCCTTTTCAAGATATTTCATATAAATGAAATCATATGTATATAGTTTCTTGTATCTGGCATATTTCAGTTAGCATGTTTTGGAGTTCATCCATGTTGTTGTATATATTTGTAGTTAG